GGACTTTGTGGTGTGTGGCAGCAGAGCACCGTGATGGGAAGGGCAGGCTCTGGAGATGGACCACCCACGCTAGCATCCCACCTCTGTCACCTACAAGCTGAATGACCCTGGGAGAGTTACTTTCTCAGCAGTCTATTGCTGTATTAAAAACACAGCTATTTTCTCATCTCTCACTACTGTGTGGTTGCTGGGCTCTGCTGGCTGGTTTTGCTACATTATATGGTGTTGGCTGGAGCTGCAGTCCCTGGGGAGCGGCCGTGCCTGGCTCCAAGACGGCCGTCACTGAAGCTGAGGGAGAACCAGGGGCTGGGAGATGGGCGTCACAGAATCACCACTTCCTCCGTGTATTCACACAGGCCTCTGCTGGCCTGTGCAGTGGGGGCTGAGCTGCGCCCACAGGGCTGCGGGAGGGGGCTGATGTGGAGAGAGGTGACGTGGGAGTGCTCTGTGAAGCAGGAGGCCGTGGGGATGCCTGGTGGTGGTGTCATTATGTGCTCACACCTCGGGATGGAAGGGAGGGCGGCTCCAAGGAAGGGACGGTTCCCTGTCTGCCTTTGCCACCCCTGCCTGAGTCCCAGCTCTGCAGGTGGAAGGAGGAGGGGTTTTCCCTGTGGCTTTGGCGGGTTGCCTGGTTCACTACTCAACTCTCTCCCTCCCTCCCTCCTTCCTTTCCTTCCCTGCCACCTTTCTTCCGTGCCCTCTCCCCTTCTTCCTGTTTAAATACCCATTTAGTCAGCACATTTCTCATGCTTTTTGGCAGAATCTCTGCTGTCTGAATCCTCTTCCCAGAGCTGAGGAAATCCCACCGGACTGCCAGGGTGAGCCAGTGTCCGAGCTCCTGGCTGGCCTGTCGGCCTTGTGAGGGGGCTGCAGGTAGCTGGCCTCCCCTGCTCCCCATGCCCAGCAGCCCAGGAAATCCTCAGTCAGGAGAGACTGTAGAAACTACAGCCCCGGGGCTGATTCTCTGTGGGTCTCACCTGTCCCCCCTCGTCCTTCTGTTTGTCCAGGGGCCCTGGGAGTCCCGTTTCCCCAGTAGCAGGCTCTGCCTTTGCTGCACCCCAGACCACAGGCCAGGGACCAGCTGTCCCCTGTAGTGTGAGGGAGAGCTGAATGAAGACAACCTTGCTGCTGGCCACTTGTTCAGGGCAACCCCAGGGGAAGGCTGCGTGCCAGGATGTGTCCTCCAGGGTCCCCTGGGGCTTTGGGAGGTCACAAGGGATGTATATCAATAGAAGGCTAATCTTATAAAATACTGTCCACCCCACATTTCTTTTATTGCCAGAATATGAAGTAAAATCAGCTTTCTCTAAACGCTAGGTGGTATCTGGCACCAGCCTGGGTAGACAGCATGAAGAGACAGAATTTTAAGATGTGTGTGAAGTTTGGCCATCAGCCATCATCATGCAATTGCGTAGAGCCGGGCCTGATTTTCAGGGTACCACAGAGGTCAGAGGGTTCAAAGATTTTTTTCCAGCCAGCCTTCTGGACCGAACTGAAGTAGACACAGAAATGTTTCTGGCTTGCTCATCCCAGTAATGCCACTTGATTAGAAGAAAAGCTCCTCACTCAGACAATTTAATAACTCCCAGCTACTTACATCCATGGTCCAAAATGTTCCCTAAAATCAGCATCCCCAAGGGGAAACTTACCTCTCAGGAAAATACCTTCCTCTAAGAATCTGTCATTTTTGAAGGAGCTTTTTGTTCTTACCATTGTGAAGTGGTGTCTGTCCTTAAAAACCTCACCTTGTCTCTTACTTCAGTCCTTCTGCTCAGTCCTTCCCTTCAGCTTTGGGGGGTGAACACAGTCAGAACCTTCCCTCTGGTAAGTGAGGTGCCCTGGCTCCAAGCTGTTCACTTCAGTGTGAAGTGAAGTTGCCCGTGAAGGAGGTGAATGGTGGGCGTCATGACGAGCTGGCACGGCTGATGTCTTCACTGGCCATGAGTCCCTCCTCTTACCCGATCTGCCAATCTGGTCCTTTCCCAGCCTCAGAGAAGAGGAGGGGCCAAGAGCTGCCCTCCAGCCCCGCAGGAGAAGGTGTTGAGTCCTGGCCACGTGCCAGGGTCTGGGCGGAAGTGCCAAGGGGAGGATGGTCAGCTTTCAGAGCCTGCCTTTGCCTCTCTCCATCCCGAGGCATGAAAACGTCTGGGCGCAAAGTCTCTCCTCTCTGGCCTTCTGTATTCTAGCAAAATGCATTTAGGGGATAGAGGGAGGGCTAGAAAGAATACTTTGTTTACTTTACATGGTAATAAGGTACACACTTAATAATTAATATGTATCTTTATTGTCCCAGGATTAATGCATCTACATTGTGGAAAGTTCAAGTACATACTACAGATTTCTCTGACTTCTCTCTCTTAGAGAGAGTCCCTGTCATTTTTCAGATCTATTTCATTCTAACTTACTGATAGACAGACATTATAAGTTATAGTGAGGAATCACAGTGGACATTTACAGTTCATGGCAACTTTTTATTAAACAGAGACCAGGAGCTTTCTTCTGTGTCATTAAAAATTTATTAAAAGTATGTTTTGGAGGGATAATACATTTTTATTTACATTTTTAATCGGTAGTACATTATTTCAAAACTCAAACTGATGTAAAAGTGCGTTCAATGAATAAACTCACTCCCAATGCCGTGCACTAGCTGCCAGCCCCCACCCCCAATGCCCACACGGTGCACTGTTATAGGTGTCTTGAATTAAAGTGCTAAAGCTTCTTGATGCAAAACCAAATAAATGCAGCTTGATAGTCTTACTTCTCCCCTTCTGTGCCCAGGGCGGTGTGTGAGGTGCGCCGTCTGCACCCAGCTTTTGCTTTCAGTTGGCGATCTGTCATGGAGATCTTTTCATAGCAGCACATGGAAATCTATCTTGCTTTTCAAAAGCATGTTTAAATTTTTTTTTTGGAGCAATTCATTCAAAAGATACATTGTTTTTGTCCTATAGAAAGATAGCAAATGAAAAATAAACCTCTTTTTCTCCCCAATTCCACTCTTAATCTATTATCAGTAATAGCAGTATGAATATTTTCATATGTATTTTTCTGAAATTGTGTTTATGCTTGTACCCTCATGAATGTGCCTGTGTACCCCTCTTCTTTAACCTGGCTTTTTCATGTGGATATGCCCTAATTCCTTGAATCATTGCTCAAGAGTTGGACCTTTAGGTTGTTTGAATTTTTTTTCTTGTCTAAGCAATGGGAAGAGGAAGGATCTTGGATGTGAGTTTTGGTCCGTGTCTCTGATTGTTTCTTCTAGATAAACTGTGGGAGTGAGATTTCTGGGTCAGAGGACATGGGTTCCTGTAGGGATCTTGGTACAGGCTGCCTTGTGGCTTCCCTAATAGATTACGGTGCCTCTCCTCCCAGCCACCCACGGGAAAGTGACGGCCACCTAAGTAAGCAGCAGGGCCTGGTGACTCCCAGCCCAGCCTGTGCCTGTTCTTTTGAAGCTGAAGTTGCCTCAGGTGGCACGGCAGCTTTCTCCTTGTTGGGTCTGAAGGACTCTCTCACTAGCAGCTTTTAGCAAGGCAGCCCCGGGAGCCCAGTCTGATCGCTTAGCTCCATGCATCCGTAAGGGCTTAGGTTGCGCCATTCTCCCCTCAGGCCTCCATATATTGGGCGAGAGATACCCCTCGGATTGGCAGAATGGATTCTGTGTCTGATGTCAAAGATAGCAGAACATACTGCTCTAACTTCAGTGTCATATAATGTCATTTTGTCATATATTGCCATATAATTGCCGTAGTATAAGAATAGTGCACAGCTATTGAGTACTTTGTACCTGCCAAGGCACTGTTCTGCATACCTACTGACATCAACTCATTTCATCTCCAAAACAACCCTATGGTTTTCTACTATTATACCCATTTTACAGATGAGGACAGCATGACACAGAGAAGGCAAGTGATTTGCTTGTGGCCACAAAGGAAAAGGTGGAACTGGGATTTGAGCCTGAGCTGTGTGGTTCCAGAGCACAGGCTCCATTACCACTGCATTCTCCACTTCAAAGGGAACCCAATGCTCCTTTAAGAAGTACCTTCTAGTGTCTTCCAACCCCCTGAAAGGACAGTAAGAAGTCTTACCTTCCTCACCTTTTAGCTCTTTTCTTCTCTGTTGGCTGAGAGTTTATAGCAGAAAAGCCTTTGAAGTTGGAAAGATCTGAATTGGTATCCACTTCCTTACATGTGTGAACTTGGGCAAGTTCTCGGTCTCCCTGAGACTCAGTTTCCACATCTATCAAGTGGGATAATCCCCTGGCCCTAGGATTGTTATCAAGACTGATGAAGACTGGATTACACAAAAGCTTTGATGTTGCAAAGTAAGAGACATTCTCTTTCTCTCACAACCCCACATGCTTCTCTTTCCTACCTCTTAGTTTTGATCCGTATTCTTAAATGCCTGGTGGTTCAGGTTTGATCATACCGCAGAAAGTAGGAGAGTACTCCCTGAGGGTGATGATCATAACCCACTAAATGAGCAGCCACTGTGGTGCTTGCGGCCTGCCATCGTGTCTGTGCTGCCTTAAACTGCTCAGACATCACGACAGAGGAAGGCTGGCACTGTTTTGGGGGCAGACATCAGCCCAGTGTGTTTATGTACCAGGTGTGCCTGTGTGTGTAATGTTCATCACGATGCTAATGGGTATTTTTCCCCCTGCACATTTGATATCTTGCATCTCAGATCCTAATCAGACCTTTGTAGCTCCCAAATTACATGCTTTTCCATGCCTGCGATTATCTCAATAGGATTAACAGTCCTTTTTCCATAAAGATATTTGAGATTGTGCATGTTGGCATGTTTTTATTACTGTAGCAACCATCTCTGTCCTTCCACCAAATCTCTTACTGTTTCCCAGTAACTGCTTTTTCACCTCTTTCTGACCAGGAAATGTTCCAGGATCAGTGGGTGGCAGAATTCTCCCGTGATCATGCAAACTGCGGTAACCATGGTGCTTCTTCTCTCTCTCCCTCTCCCTCCTCTCCTGATGCTGGTGGCAGGTGCCCGGAGATTTGAGTCAAACATCCGAAGACCAGAGTTTGTCGGATTTTGAAATGTAAGTCCAGGGCAGCTGCTCCTGAGGGCCCTTTAGAAATAGGCCTCTGTTGTTTGGCTTGTGTCCTGGAAGAGCACAGCGGGGAACAGAAACCACTGTTTAATCAGCAGAGGCCGATTTGATTATCATAGAGGTAGGAAGCTGTTCACTTGCAGCCCAAGTGTGGCCTTCAGATGTGTTTTATCTGCTCTCTTATATATAAAAAAAACATTTTTTGGGTTAACATTTAAAAGTTGGAAGATAGCATATAACAATTTAAATTGTCTCTTTTTTTTTAAAGACTCAAATCCCTGCAAGACCAGTCAGCTAAAGCTGAAGAGCAGCTTCCTCCTTCATGCAGAGCATGTGCTCTTCAGCTCACTGCAGTCCCCAGTCCTCCTTAGTGCCTGACTCTGGCTTCCTTCACTCATTTCATTGTCTGTGTGTCTCCTATAGGAATTTGAGTTTACAACCCCTGCGTTATTGGGAATAACAGTAGTTAAGTGCATTGTTCTGATTTTTTAAATTGAATTTGATTCTCCCTGGTGCCTCTGCTGATAAGCCCCAAGAAATTTAATTAGTCTTAGACCATCTATTTCTGACCAGGTATGATTTGGGCTTTAGGCAGATACTCCCCTTCAGCTAGTAAAGAAAGTGGAGTGAGTCCTGGCTTAAGGCTAGGCAGACCCTCCATCCTCTCTCATTCATTTGTACCTAGTGCAAGAAGGTTTGCCCTCTCCGAGGAAAGTATCATCTGAGAGAAACCTGATTCTGAAGAGAGAGAGTAGGACATTGGAAAGAGCATCTATCAGAGCCAGGCTGACCTGTGTTGCAATCTCAGGCTTGACACTGGGTGACCTTGGATAAACTGCTTAACTTTACTGGGCCTGAGTTTCTTCATTCATAAGCTGAAGGTCATGATTCCACCTTGTAGGGCTGTGGTAGGGTTAGAGTGATGAATTCAGAGGCGTCAAGAGGCCACTGCTAGGTTGGCAGGTGAGGTCGATATAGTTAAGAGGTGAAGGGTGGAGATCAAAGGCGAGCCCCTCCTGTAGGCCTGTGGCTGGAGGGCATGCAGGGCAAAGAGGATAATGGAATGGCATCTTGTGGGGGACAAGGGTGGGGACAAGCTGGGAACACATGTGGAAGCCATCGTTGGGGGAGGGGTCCCAGAGACAAGTCAGTTGCGAGGCAGAAAGGACTCATTAAAGCAAGACTGTGACAAGCCCCTGGGGGAGGTGTCCCACCAGGCACTCAATGGATGGCGCAGTGAATGAGCCACAGTCTCTGCCCTCAAGCAGCCTCTGCCTGGCCCATCAGCACCATTTCTCTCACAGAGATTTACATCCTCCCCTCACTGATTTGCTCACCTCCACTAAAAGCAGAGGGAAGTGTCATTTTCCTCTCTCAAGGTGGAGCCCCAAATCCCCCATGCAGCTTGCAGGAAGGCCTTTGCTGCCTCTGGATTTATCCCCAGTCTTCCCCTTCCTGCTCCATGCACACCAGCCATCCTGGCCCACTCAGCTTTTCTAACTCAGGTCCTTCCTACTCAGGATCATTATTTTATTCCCCACCCACTCTAGACATTGTTTCCTCTGTGCTAGGCATTGTTCTCACACCTCCTGTCCCTTCAGCAGCATTTGACATGGGTATCATCTTACAGCTGCCAGATTCAAGCCAGGATTCAAATCCAGGCAGTCTTGGTCTACCCTCTGTGCCTTCAGAAATGTTAACCCTCCCGCCTGAAGCCCCATTCCCCACCTCAACCTCCTTCCCCCAACTTGCTAGCTCTGAGTATTCCTCCAAGCCCCACACAGACAGTGCTTCTGCAAGGCACCCTTCTCTGATGGCTCAGACCAGAGCATGCCCCTCTGGCATTCACCATCCTGAGATCCAGTGTTCCTCCGTGGCACTTAGAACAATGGTAACTGAATAATTCTTGTGCAACAATTATATATGAATCTAACAGTAGAGTCTAAGCACACATGATGTAAAAATGAACAGAAATGAAGGGAGCAAAAGGTAGCTCCACAATAATAGCTGGAGACTCTTAAAACCCCACTCTCAATGATGGATGCAACAACTAGAGAGATCGATAAGCACATAGGAGATTTGAACAGCACTATAAACCAGTTAGATCTAACAAAAATGTATAGAGCACTTGACCAGGCGCCAGTGAATGCACGTTCCTCTTAAGTACACATGGGACATTCTCCAGGATAGACCATATATTAAGCCACAAAAGAAGTCTCAATAAGTTTACAAAGATGGAAATCATGCAAAGTATCTTTTCTGACTACAGTGGAATGATTTTTATGGGAGTTTGTCTGTCTCCCATGTTAAACTGCATACCCCCTGAAGGTTAGAACCGTGCCTGCTTTCTTCATTGCCTGATCTCCAGTACCTAGAGTAGTATCTGGCACGTAGTCGGTTCTCAGTGAATACTTGTTTAATGCCTGAGTGGACAAACAAAAGAATGAACAAAGGAAGTAATATCTAGGAGGGACTGGTCATGTAAACAAGTCCTTCTAGTACAGTGCTCTGAAAGGGAAAAACGCCTAACTCAGCCTGGGGGTTCAGCCCTCACCCATCTAGGAAGGTTAATGAAACGAACATGTTGAGTGCACCTCTGCACCCCTTCTCACCCTCCCAGTGACAGAAATGAAAGGGGAACACTCTAGGCACTCGAAGTTTTGGGTACTTGTACAGGAAGAATGTCATTAGATATACAAACCAATTTGGTGGCTCAGAATCGAAATTTGTACTTGGAGCCCCGGGGAAGTTATCCCTGGGGCTTATTTGCCCCACAAAGGGGGTCAGCACCTCAGCTCTTGCTGTTTCAGGAGGAACCATTTCTTTGTGAAAATAAAATGTGCTTTACTCTAGAGGTTGTGAGACTTTCGAGCCATGGATTCTTCCATCATCAGTGTCTCAGATTGTGTTCTAAGCACAGGAGGCTGGCAAATGTTTATGAGCTGTCCTTTAGTGAGGAGAGCTCTGAAAAAAGCATTTAGTCCTGGAGGAACTCTAAGTAAGGGAAGGGCTGGAACCTCCTAGCCCTTCCAGACATGCAGTGCTGTTTTGATAGCTATTACGATTTATCTTGAAGTTTCTGTGACAACCTATCAGCTCCTCTCCACTTGATTTGGACTTAGCCTTGTGGAAGATGGGTGGTGGTGATGACGGCAGTGGGTGGGCACAGCGAGGAGGCAGCGTGACCCCCCCTGGGTGCCCCAGAAAGCTGGTGGGCATTAGCGCATATGAACTGCCACAGCCTCATCAGGGGCTTCATTTATTGCCCTGTCTTTCAGATGGGGAAACTGACAGATAGGTTACGGGCCATGGTCACTCAGTAAGAACTGAAGGGCAGCTCTTTCTCATCCCGAATTACAAAATGCATATATAATTTAAACTAAGTTCCTCAAGAATAATCTTGGGGAATTGAGTGATGAGCCACTGGTCCTTCAGCTCACTATTAAGTGTGGTAGACATTGTGACAAATTGCTTGTGCGTAATGCTTCTTAGAGGAGAAAATTGTTTTTCCTCTCTGTTTTTGGTAAATTGAAATGACCTATCTTGATCTTTTTTCTGGTCAGATCAAACCGGGCGCTGATCAACGTCTGGATCCCATCAGTGTTTCTCCGGGGCAAAGCAGCCAATGCCTTCCACGTGTATCAGGTAACTGCCCAGCTTTCAGTTAGACACCGTCGCTGGCATAGAACCCACAGCCATGGTCACGCTGAGGCGCTCTGGCCTCTGATGAGAGCGCGTGGTCCTTAGGAGGCCTGTCCTCCAAACACCAGCATTCCAGCTGCCTGACCTCCCTGGGGACGTGGTCCTTCTACTGTTTGGAGAGGAGGGAGCCGGGTGAAGCCCCCCCGTACTGGTCAGGCCTCTGAGTGTGACCCCTGCAGAATCTCAGTGCGGCTATGATCCTACTTGAGCAGAAATGGGTTCATCAGCTTGTGCTGCAGCTGAGGTGTCCCCGTGCAGGTCTGCCTTAGGCCGGCTGGCCCGTGGTCAGGAACCTGCTCCATCTCCTGCTTCCCCAGCTTAGGCATCCTTACAGGCTGGTGCTCTCTGCAGGCTCCCAGCAGCATCGGGCTCTCAGGCTCTCCCGGGGCTACTGGCTGAGTCCTGGGTGTTTCACAGGGGCCTGTCTTGGCTCACGAGCCTATGCCTAAGCCCCACGTTGGGAGGTGGACTTCTGTGATTGGCTGGGTTCGGATCACGTGTCTGGTGCTGGTTTTGGAGTTGACCATGTCTGCCCATGCACCTGAGAAATGGATGAGGTGGTTCCCCAAATGAAAACCAAGTTACTCTTTTCAAAAGAAGGGGCAGTGGTCTTGACAAACAAAAACCGTAGACATTTACCCCACCTTCTGGGATAGAACTGCCCCCTGCCGCAGTGGGGATCAAGGGTCTGAGTCCACGAGAGGTCATTTTGTCCCCACAACTGGGACCCCCATTTTCCATCATTTCTCTGAGTTTCTGGTGCCTCTTTCAGACCTGCCTACTTATCCTCTTTTTGTTTTTCTTCTCTTTCCTACCTTGGATCCCGATTTCCAGCCATTGGGGTTCACTTGTCCTGGGACGGCTTTGATTCCAGTTCTGACTCTGAGCTGCCTCCGGGTTCCCCCATCTTCTTGTATCCCCACAGCCTTCTTCATGGTTTGCTCTCATTCTGCCTCGGCTCTGTGGAAGGCCTTGAGTTTTGTTGCCGATTTGCTGAGAGGGGAGTTGACCCACTGAAGAAGTCTTCTCACGACTAAGATATTTACCCCAAGGGTGCCAGTGACAAGAAAAGGACACTGAACTGAAAGTAGGAGCCCTGGTTTCAATTCTGTGACTGTGTGTAAATCTCAGTTTCCTTCTTTGTAGAACAGAAATAATAATAACACCACCTTGCAAAGCTGTTGTCAGCATTAGAAACACATGGCGCCCAGCAGGTGCTGACTTCTCATTCCTTACCTTCCGGAACGAGCGCCATCTTTGGCCTTGCCGTGGGACTGGTGGTGGGTGTGTGACACAGGAATGGGTGTAAGCATGGTGCACACGTTCTAAACTATTAGGGACATATGAGCTAGAGTTTGACAAGGACACATGTGCCAAAAAGCCCCGTTCGCTTACGTGCCCAGCTGGCAACAGTTGTGCTTTAAAAAGAGTTAGGGAATCTGAGTGTGCATGATACTCTCAACTTTGGCTTAAAAAGAGAATTAGATATGACAGATTTCTGAAAAACCTCTTCTTTCTTCACACCAACAAAAACCCCTTTTGTTTGAGTGTCTCACGTTCTGCTTTGTGGGTCATCAGAAGGCCGGGAGGTGTTGCCTGGAGGATGAAAAAGCGAAGCAGACAGCTTCATTTCAAGGTGAAATGGAGGTGCAGTACCACTGAGCAGTTTCCTTTGACTGTTTGCTCCCCTCAGCTCAGGAAGCAACTTGGCAGGTTTTAGCTTCTGAAAGTCACTTATGAGTAAGATGGGTGCAGTAAATGCCATTGCCTGGGAGATCATTTCCTCAGTGGCCACAGCGGCATGCAAACCACTCTCCCCATCCCTCCCTGTTCTTAGAGCCTCCTCGACCTGGTCCAGCCAGCACCCGGAGGACCTGGCCCAGATTTCATGAAGCTGCAGGCCCGGCACCTCCCACATCACTGAGCGATGTCACCCCCCCACCGTGGGCTCTCCGAAATCTTCCCTGATGTTGAAACATGTGAAATAGCACCTCTTGAATGCAATTGCTTTTTGATGCTGCTGGTTGGCATCTCAAGAGCAAAATCTGATCATGTGTTTAGAAGCATTTTAGAAAGCTCTGTTTCTAAGCATGTGTTTAGAAGCCTCTGTTTTACAGTGTTTTATCACAATGATATTGGATAGAAGGTGACCTCATTTTAAATACTGGTCTGTCTGTTGGACGTCATTTTTCTAAGTTAAAAAAAATCCATGCTATATATTATTCCCATAAAATATTTGAGATAATTTCTGGAGAAACTAATACAAAGAGAATGATAAAATAGAAGTAAAAATAAAAGACTAGATTTCAGAGAAAATATAAACTGAGAGTTTTCATTAAGGAGACAGTGGAAATCATATCTGTCATGACATCCTACATAATTGCTCTCATTGCTTTATGAAACTCCTGTGGGCTTCCTGGGAGCCACTGCAAAAGTGGAAATGTGGCTATTTTGTATAATCCCATTGCTAATAAAAGAAAATATGTCAGTTCCTCAAAGGGAGCTCTAAAAGAAATTTCTACACAAGGCTTTAGATTAAGTAATAATAAGGGATGTAGTAGACAGTCCCCGTTACATCCCTGTAACAAATCACTGTCAGGGGTCATAAGATCTCCCTTAAAGGAAGCCAAGGGCATAACCTCAAAAACTAACCATAAGTTCCTTTGAAGAGCCAAGATGAAGGGGATGAGCACTGAGCTTCCTCAGTAGGTCTGGACTGTCCAGTACAACAGCCACTAGCACATGTACCATTTAAATCTAAATTGATTAAAATTGAAGAAAATTCAAAATTCAGTTTATCAGGCACTCTAGCTCCATTTCAGGCTTGCCATTTTGGATGGTACAGATAACAGAACATTTCCATCATTGCAGAAAGTTCTGTTGGATAGTGTTGATCTCTCAAAGAGAGCAGTGTCCCAGAGTGTCAGAAAGCAAGATGACTTCGTGTGAGTGTAAGAAAGTTTTAGGAAGACGGAGGCTGGGCATTAAATAACAAATTCTGCTGGGAGAAGGGCACTGTCTCCTCAGCTCTTCATGCTGTGATGACCCGGAGGAGACAGTCAGTGCGTTACCGCTGTGCCTTTAGCACCTCTCATCTTCCTTTTCAGCAAAGACAGGCAGGCTCAGGATCAGCGCCTTTGGCAGGCAAGACCTGAGCTTAATGAATTACATTGTTTTCAGTGTATTGATTTTACATTTGCCTTCTGTGGCACAGAATTCTATTTTTTCTGTTTACCACAGTGAGACAGTTTCCTTTTAACATTTAAGCAGAAAGAAAGTGAGTCTACTTAAAGAAGAACACTAAATAAGCAATAGAGAACACAGCAAGAAGTTGAAGACAGTGTTCCGAGAATGAATAATATTGGGGAAACACTGATCTAAAGAAATGGACAGATTATGGTAAAAACAGTAATGGTGACAATACCAGTGGTAAGCAGCTGCCACTGTCTCTCACTGATATATGTGCATCACATAAAATAGCACAGTCCATCCAGGGTGGGAGGTAAGAAAACCTTATTATCCCCATTTTACAGATGAGAAAACAAAGGCACAGAGAACATCTATTCAGTACAATGGTTTTTTTCAGCCCAGATAGTATTTTCTCACAAAGTGCTGGCTTACAGAGATTCCACGCATAAGGGTGGAGCCAAGCTCTTTAAAAATACAAGAAACAGATGGAATTCTTGCCTTCATTCTGAAGGGAGGTGCCGAGCCTGACCAAGATCTTGCCTGCATGGCTGGCCACCTGCATCCCTGAGATGGATACAAGCAGGCCTGTAGCCAAGCTTGGAATTTTCTGTAGGACAACTTGGGATGCGTTGCAGTGCCAGACCCTACCCATCCAGCCTGCATATCTGAGAGCCAAGCTGAGATGGTCTCACTTTGGAAAACTGTCAGAACAGGGGCTGGTGTGTGGTGCTTGTTCTGGCTGTAGACAGTTTCAGGCACGCTGCTTCAGAGCATCTCATTTGAGCAGTGTCAGGGGCTGGTGAGCCTATCTGGAGGCTTGGAAATGTACTCCTAAATGCCAGAGGAACTGAGATAGTTCACCTCTGCATGTAGTTATTGGGCTTTTACCATATGTATCATGGAAGAGGTCTAGAATTATATTTTGCACAAAGGATTCTGAGAAGTAGTACTGTCCTTTGATAGGACTGAATGCAAGTTGTTAAAAAAAAGGCTTGCACCTCCAAACAGTGTGGTTTCTACATTCTGCTCCCATGTCCTGAGATGGGGGTTGACATGTGTTTGACACCAAAAACAAGAAATGGCAGCATTTGATCTGTTCTCAGAAAAAAAGTAAAATTGATGTCCAGAACTTTGCCAATATAAGTTTTCTGTCCATGCATATTTCTTACATTCCAGTCCCTGCTAATGCGTGGCTGTCAGCATGCACTCGCCAGAGGACAAATGATTAAACAGCAGCAAACAAAATGCAAGAAAACCAAACAAGACTATTTGCTAACTGATCTTGCTTAATTTTCTTTCTTTCTCCTCCTCTGTGTTAATACACAGATAGACACACTTGTTACATTTGATTTTCTGTCACTTCCATATGCTATAGTTACATTTGTTGATCATTTAGTTCCCAGTTTATACCTTTGCAAATATTTGGTCTTACTCCCCAAATACCCCAACCTCCATTCATGTTTGGGGTCCACCTTCTTAATATCCTACTGTAGTGTTTATAAAGGGGCGTTGGGACTTAAAACAACTCAGTTTTTTCTTAAGCAAATATTATAACCCCTAGATTGGTAAGAAATAATATGTGAATGTATGTATTTTCTGAACCTTTATGCCTTTCCCTTTTAAAAGTACTGTTTTCAGAGTTTTCAAAAGAGCTGGAATCAGACCTCCAGGTGGGATTATTTTCAGCCTTTGCATTTAGCCACCAGAAACATGGGCTGCTGTACAACATTCCATTTGCATGGCACAACTAATTA